GTCAATCACGCGTTCTCCTTGAATTACCAAAAATGTTTTTACCCTTAACAATTCCTCATTCTGTTTCCTGTTTTTGTTGAATGTTTCTCTTCTCATTAAGATTAATGTTACCTACTTACTCGTAATTTATAACGCCGCTGTTTCGCAGTGCATACGTCGAAATATTTTTCCACGCCTATTTTTTTTTAACGCACACATTCATGGTCCTGCATTATGGAAATTGAGTCGCGGGTGCCATGGACACATACATAGACAACCACAAATTATATTCAAAATCACGAGAGAAATAAATGTAGGCCATACAAATATTACTTCCAGCCCGGGAATCGAACTCGGGACCTCTGCGTGGCAGTCCAGCATGGTAACCGTTCGGCCACAGAGGCAGTTAATCATGGTTCTGGACTATGTATACTTTCGCGTTTTTAACCTTTAGGCCGCAAAGGCGAGAGTCTAAAATAGATATAAAAATAAATAAATAAAAAAACATATTAATAATGATAACCATAACGATAACGACAACGATAACAATAATGAATTATCATTAGATAATGATAATGATAATAATAATAATAATAATAATAATAATAATAATAAAAGATTTTATTTTGGACACAATCCATAGGTTGTTAGTATTATTACAACTTATAATCTATTGTTAGTATTTCATAACTATAGTGGTGGTAAAAAATCGTGTTATTGCTGGAATTCCCTAACGCTAAGTGTGAAGCTGCATCCAAAGGCGTAGTACTGGGGAGACCCACCAACCAGCGAACACCCTCAAGATTCGGTTGGTGCTGGCGAGGAGACGGGTGCGCGCCTCCGCGAATATCCCTGACGCAGTACAGCGCCACGGCAGCCCCAGCAGAAACCTGAAGGCGTTATTATACTGGACACGTCGGTCACTATAAGTCCGCTGCGTATATTTGACTCATAGCTTGCATGTATAAAAGGATGTGTAGAAAGCTTTGAAATGCGTAATTTTACAAGTTTCAGTACATTGTATGAGCCTTTGTGCCGACATATTGATACGGACAGCCTGCGATTCCTCTCAATGTCACAAGTAAAGTATAATATCTTCCCATTCCATATTTACAACGACACACAACCTCTCTCACTGGCAAATCTCGACACTCCGAATAAAACACCTTTGTACTCGTATATGCTCGAAGAAGAAGAACAAACGAATCCATGGGTACTTAAGCAGCTCGGTATCATAACTAAACTTTCCACAATATGCTTCCAGAGAATTCTGAAGTATTTTGGTCGGGTTATATTCCTCGCCGACAACCAGACCACTTTGACAAACTGGTTATGGTGAGTAAGGTGGAAGGAAAGAAACTCAACTGTCGATCTGAGCCGATCGCGATCGTGTGACCAAGTGACCGCATTTACTGGCCTCCCGATACCAACTGCCCTGCGAGAAGCTGAAAACAGAATCACATGTAAAGAAATCGTCGTCTCGAACACCTTTCGGGAACACGTTAGTCGAATAGTTAGTATGACTAACAAAAAAGTATATGCACGCCGAGACGCGAAAACACTCTAACACTAACACACTTTATCGAAAACGCTTTAATTCATTTTAATAAGTTCATTGAAGCCATTTACACGATTACTAAAACGTCCCGATCTCCGGCTAGGCAGGATGCTTAACTGCACGCTGTAAACGCTGTTACTAAGATGGCAATGTAAGTCTATAGGCATGTGACAATGAGTGACGCATCGTGTAAGCTCTAAACTTCACCCCGCCGTTCCAAATTAGCGTCCTTAGGTCGTTACCATAAAGTCTATTCAAAATTCTCTGAACGCCTCACACGCGTTTAATCTCCGTAACACGTGTAGAACTTCGCCTCATCTAATGGAGTCGAGGAAATAAGCTTTTTAAGATTCATACAACGCCCTAGCGACAAAATTTTTTCCAAGTAACCGGTAAGAGACGAGTCGTCAAGATGACACTGCATGATAAGGCATTGTCTATACTGGAGACTTATAAAGTTTCAAAGGGCTACTATACTTTAAAGCCCTTTGTATAGCTATGCTAATATGTTTGGCAAAGTGGCTGCCAGCCCTCTGGGGATTTTCAGTTGGTCCATTAATTTTTTGGGTTACACTATGTAACAAATTTTCAAAAAAGATCCGTTTCTGGTTCTGTTTGATTGAGCAACAAGTATGTAGAAAAGTGTAACTATACCCCTGGAACTTTGCTTTTGTAGTTGTCACAGTGGTATTTACATAATCTTGGTCGGGAAGAAGTCGCACGGTCCATAAATGACAAACTTTCCGTGTACGTTTTTTGAAAGTAATGCAAACATTTCCGAGCATGTTTGAGAAAATGATATTTTTGTCTATAATTATAGAGAAACACGAAAATTTTTACGTTTTCCGTAGTAAGCAAATTTCACTTTTCGTTTACCAAAAGAAAATATTTTGCTGAGAAATAAAGTTTTTTCATGTTTTTATGTTAGAACCATTTAGAAAATGATACACTTGGACCTAATCTATCTATACTTATAGGTACTATAATAGAGATACTACGCATGGTTGTACACATTGGGAATTTGGTATGTGCTTAAAGTAATATTGCTGGGGGAAACGGACATCGTTGCTATTCAATGTTTTGCTTCCGTGTTGTCTACATAACTACCTATCTACTGTTGTACTTTAAGTAAGTACATATAGAATACCTTTGCGCTACGTGATATTGTTATGATCAAAGAGCATAACGGCGCTTGTGTTGTCAAATCGTGTTTTTCTTGTACGAAAGTAAAAGTTTGAAGAAGTGTATATAGAATAGAATTTCTTTATTTCAGGTATAAATACCCATACAAATTGTTAGTAACATTTTCACTTAAAGAGGTTAGTATTATACATCGTAGCAACACAAAAACTATTTATTTAATATACATAAAAACAGGGTCTCAATTCTGGTAATTTTCTGAAACCAATGAAAAAACAATGATCACTTTTTTTTTATAATGTGAAGTGACGGGACGAAGAAATCGTGTACCTGATGGTAAGCTACACGCCTGACCATAACAGTGCAGTGCCACTCAGAGCTTTAAACCGCATAGATTTGAGGGGCACTGTCACCCTGTGACGTAAGTTGATAAGTCTCATGTGCACCAGCATCCGTACCCTGCAATATCGGAACGCAGTAATGCTAACGTTACTGCTTGGCGGCAGAAAGGTGTCAGTACTTCCCTGGACGAACTCTTTCATATACATGCAATATTATAACTTTTTTAAATTTTAACTGCCTTTGTGGCCGAACGGTTGCCACGCTGGTTAGCTAGGCAGAGGTCTCAGGTTTCATTTCCGGGCCGGGAGAAACATTTGTAAGGAGCGTACATTTATTTATCTCGTGAGTTTGAGTGTGGGCCCGTCTCCCTGAAACATTAGTTGAGAAGTCCCACGAGCCTGTAATTTCACCAGTAGCACCCTTACCCTTCATAACCGGGACACATTAAAAAGATATTATAAAAAAACAGTAATGCTGACATTACTGCTTGCCGGCAGAAATATTTCGGGTGGCTACCTAGGACGAACCCTTTCGAACTCTACTGCTACTAATATTTTATTGTAATTCCATTGAGACTTCACTGAGATTAATTTGCAATTGTGATAATATTTGTTATTCCGCTAAAATTTTATTGCAATGGCAGTTGAGTGTCAGTTGCCTTACCAAAATTACCATGGAAATATGCATAATATCTTAATTATTATTATCTTAGCAATTTAGTCTCTAAATTAAATAAATATAATATTAGTAGACTATAATGTCGATGTGCTTTTGACTCGCCATTGCAGAGCAGAATGTCAAAAAATTGCAACGGTGGTTGAATAGTAGCTCGATGGCTAGGCAATTGACAAACCACTACTTTTAACTTTTAGCTGAATACCAAAGGTACAAAAGCTTGCCATTGACACTCTATCGACATACAACAGAGATGATTAAAAAAATAATTTTCAAAATCGGTCCACAATTGACGGAGATATCTGAAAACATACATACAGCCGAACGTATAACCTCCTCCATTTCTTTTGAAGTCGGTTAAAAAATAGCAGACTTGGGGTTCAGATTGGATTTGCCCAATCCAGAACATTATTGGACAATCAAACCTGTTAACAATCATTTTCAGGATGCCATTGGGTTGGGACTACAATTTCTTTCGCGTTGTCACATGGAAGCCATCTAAATGTACTGCAGCATCTCGACAGACCCAACAGCATCCTGAATGAGTTAACTGTCTCCGTGTCTGAAGGGTTACCATGCCGGACTGCCACAAAGAGGTCCCAGGTTCGATTCCAGGGAGCCTGGAGGAATATTTGTATGGCCTATATTTATTTCTCTCCTGAGTTTGGGTGTAATTTGTGGCTATCTATGTGTGTGTCCATGGCACCCAAGACACAGGTTATCCTACTGCGGGACTATGTTGAGTGTGTGCGTTATTATTATTATTGTAATGTACACGTAGGGCGTTCCTATAGAACGTTTCGTACATTTAACCTACAGGCCACTCGAGTAAACTTATTGGCTGTAAGCTTTGAATAGAGCAATCTTGACGTCTGTGGAACATCTCGAGAATCTGCGGGCCAGCATATTATAGTGTATGTATAAACATTTAGCAATAATAAAATTTCTTCGTATTGCTTAGTAGAATCACCCGCCTAAAAACCTCACACACAGGCATTTCGGGGTCACTATGTGTATACAACGCTCCACTCCATCAGCGTCTATATTAACATTAAAGGTAGGAAAAGCGTTAGGAACCGACGATAATTACCGTGAAGAGGGAAACAGTCGGAGAGAGGGAAATGATAAACAAGAAGTTCACGACGGTGCGTGGACGGTGTCAAAGTCATGTTGCATTATTGGTGTAATGACAATTATGTGCGAATCAATGAGACTTTAGATGGGTAGTACTTACCAACAGGTGCGAGTGTGGTGGTGTGGTGGCACCAAGCTTTCAAATTAATAATGGAGAATTAATAAGAGTTACCGGCGAGTGCTGCGAGGAGTGTAAGCGAGAGGAGGGCGGCGCGGCTGAAGGCCATGTCAGCAGCGCACGCGCATGCCGTGCGGGCCGGGCCGCGTCATCGCCGCCGCATGCCACCACCACCTCCACAACCTGTTGACAATAATGTTCTAATATTTATTTGATTGAATATCATGATGTTATTTCGATTTCCGTCCGATATATGCGGTACCCGCATCTTCAGTTATTGACTCTCCCTCGTTTAACTTTGTACAGGGGCAGCTTTCGTTTCGCAGCGAATAAGTGCTGGAATGACCTTTCGCTTCCAGTAAAAAACGCTAAAACGTTGTTTACTTTAAAAAAACTTTGTAAGCAAAAGCGCTTTTTGAATTGTAATATCATGATGTTTTTACTATCACGATATGTGTTGTTGTTGTTGTTGCGTTAAAAAAAATTCGTCGTTGTTCAGCCATTAACCGCTAGGTGGCAGCACATTGATTGAAATTTCAATGTAATATCAAAACGGTGTAACTTGTAGTAGTTTTTTCCCCTTTTTTTATTTCATTTTTTTTACATGTTATAATTATTTTTTGTAATTGTTAAATGTATGTGTGCTGTTTTGTTTCTTTATGGAATAAATATTTATTTCTTTCCTCTTTCTTTCTTTCAATATACAATTTAAATACCTTATATCAAAAATCCGTGGTAGTGATTGTTTGGCTCTTGCAGGTAGTCTCGACCTGCAAGAGCCAAACGGGTCACTACCACGGATTTTTGTCATAAAAGTACGCAGAAGCTGTATAAAAATAATAATAATAACCTTCAGTATAAAGTTTTTTTTTTGCACTATACTTTTAAACCTCGTAAATGGCAGATAAAAAAAATCAATTGGAATCTTATTATAGGATAAAACCCGTATTGTGTGAGCATGGCAGATTTTGGCCTAAGACTATCGCCATGAGAGGAGACCAGTACCGAACAACAGGACGTATAAATGGGTTGATGACGACAGTTATTTGGAGGAAGAGCAAATGCAAATGAAAACGGTTAAATCCATCTTTGTTAGTGCCTACAGAGTTCACGAAACAGATGCCTCGAGAACATCAAAGAGTTTAAACCCAGCTCACGAAGCGCTTATAAAAGATATAGCTGAAATGCACGTAGTTGCGCATAGAGCGATCAAATCTTAATTTTAAAGATAAAATCTTTATATCCACGTATAAAGGGATTCTTGGGAAGGAATCTTATTTTTCAGAACACACATTGTTGCGTTTGGTCGTATGCAACATTGTTACTTGTCACAAACTTAGCGAATCCGCGAGAGTTGTTGAAAATTGCGGACGGTTTGAAGAGTTTACCTTTTCTATGACTATGATGATAAAAAATAAAATAAGCCATGTTTTACATAGGGCGCACTATAAGTTCCCGAAATTGGCCACTTACATAAACAATATTTAAAAAGTAATTACAATATGTGAAAATGGAACTCTTTGGCTGTAGAGTACAGTTTGTTTAATCTGACTGTCACTTGTTTTTACATTGTGGCGTCATTTTAGAAATATGGTTGTCTACATCATCATGGATTTAACTCGTGAAAATTTTTTGGCGATGAAGCACTATGCAAGACGACTATTTATAGCTGGTTTGCAGAATTCAAACGCGGTCGTGTGAATCTCAGTGACGAATTTCGTGGTGGTCACCCGTCCACTGCTGTGAACAACAAAAACATCGATGCTGTGCGCCGTGTGATCAAAACAGACAGGCATGTGACATACCATGAGATTCGGGCATCTTTAGGCCCGAATTAGGCATCTCTAGGCCCGAATTAGGCATCTTTAGGCCCGAATTTCATGGGTGTGAAGAAGCTGTGCCCTCGGTGGATCCCACACAATTTGACTGAGGCTCAAAAAACGGATCGTGTCACTTGGTGCAATGCCATGCTTACCAGATTCAACGAAGGGGCGTCAAATTTGGTATGTGACATAGTAACAGGTGACGAAACATGGATTTATAGTTACGATCCCAAAACAAAGCAGCAATCGAGCTTATGGGTCTTTCGAGATGAGCCGAAACCAACCAAAGTGGCGCGCTTGCACAGTACTTCGAAGCGGATGATTGCTTCTTTTTTTAATAAAACTGGACACTGGGCACTGTTGTTTTGGAGAATCGTTGTGCCGTAAATAATGATTGGTACACGACAATTTGTTTGCCGGAAGTTATTGACAAACTCCGTAAAAATAACCGTGAACGCCGTATCATCTTGCACCACGATAATGCCAGTTCTCACACGGCCAGACAGACAAATGAATTTTTGAAGGTGAATAACGTTGACCTTATGAGCCATCCCGCGTACAGTGCCGACCTGGCACTTTGGGACTTTTATTTATTTCCAAAAATTAAGAACCATTTACGCGGTCAACGATTTTCATCACCTGAAGAGGCTTGTCAAAGAGTATGAAAAATGTGTTTCTGAGATTGTCACGGAGGAGTGGCATAAATGTTTTCAAAATTGGTTCATTCGTATGAAAAAGTGCATTAACGCTAACGAAGAATATTTTGAGAAACAATAAATATATTTCTGACCATTTATAGTATTTTTTTAGTCATTCCAGAAACTTATAGTGCGCCCCACGTAGTAGCAGTGGAGCTCCTTGTGAAAGAGGTTTGTCCTTACCTATTTCTGCCACCAAACAGTAATGTGAGCATTATTGCGTTCCGGTTTTGAATAAGGGTGCTGGTGAAATTACAGGCACCTGGGACTTGACAACTTACCCATCATCTTAGATCTTTGCGATCTATTAAATATCTAGACTCTACTAGAAACTAGATTAAAGGTCTAATTGACGCTGCAGCTGCTACGGACGCGTGTGTCGCACACCAGGCGAAGTTGCCCGTCTCGACACTAGGTATTGTTTCACTTTTTAATGTTAACGTTGACAAATCACAATATTTGCTCACTAGAAATTGCCTAAGGTGGGGTGGGTAGATATTATTAATAAAGCGTAGGGTGGGTATGGATAGATTAACAAATCACGAAAACGTGTCTTCTGTGAGTACGCGTTGTTCCACGTTTCGTTTTTATTTGTCTATTCAGTTTTAATTACTTTCAAGTTTTTAGTGACTTTCAAAGTTTTCTTTCTTATTTTAATATGCCACGCTGAATGGAATTATTAAAATTAGAAATTATTGTTCTGTATGAACAAAACTTATACATTCCTTACACCTATTAAGACGTTAAAAACAAAAAAAAATACAATTTTTATTTTATTTACCTAGTGTATACGACTGTACATAAGAGTAAAGATCTTATTGCTATTATAAGAGGCTGTTAAAGATTTTAAACGTAATTCATTAAGTAAGTAAAGAATCTTAACTGAATGTTTTCCTTTAAAAAATCAACATGCCCCAGGGCTCGGTCTTTATTCTACTTTACGAGATGGGTTAAAGGTAGAAAATACTTAGTTTTTTCTTCTGTATTAAGCATATATTTGAACCAGCGTTTCTTAGTAAACCGTGGCAAACGCTATGCCAGTTAAGTCACGGAACAAACCAGCGAACCTCACGAATTTCTCCATGTCCTTATTGTAAATCTTTGTTTTTACTTTTAAACGACTTTTTGCCGTACGCCATCTGTGACAAATTTATATTTTTATAAAAAGAGGATTTAAAAAAACATAATCAATGTTATATAAAGCGTACGCAATTTAATTAATGAGGTGAACAAAATGCCGTATCTCAGCTAAAAAAATATACATAAAATAAAACGGATGAAGGAAAGGACAAAAAGAAAGAAATTCTTCATTCTAAATGTTTTGCAACCACAAATTTTTACTTTTTTAGACTTCGTAACACAAGTGATGTTCCAAAATCCGCTCCAATACACAGACTGAGGTCACTGGAGTGCGGTACAATTGAGAATAAGGAGCATTTCGTTTGTTTATCTACTCATTTTATGAGTGCATTTACAAACAGCCAATCTGTTATGACCGTTTATTTTATCGATACGGAATTAATTTGCCGTTCTTTGCAAATTTGTTGCATGGTTTCTGGATCGATGAGTTCTAGGTCGATGGTAATTAACTTTCAGTGTTTTGTCTCGACGGAAAGATCATAGTGATCAGATCGTGGGAAAAAAGATTTGTACGATATAATCCGAAGAACTAAGCGATTGTTTCAAAGGCAATAATAGGGACCAGTTTGTGTTATGTGGGCGTCATATTATGGACAGGTGGATATTAAAATATGTCAACACTTTTAAAGCTACGAGGCCGCGATATAACGTATCGGTCATATAAACTGGAATTTATATCGGCTGAGCAATCTCGTTAAATAGTAAGTAAACCTCGTTTTATTCCGAATTTACATTTTCAAATTATTTATGAAGCTATATTCTAAATGAAAATCCTAATTAGAAGAACCACACCTTTTATTATTACCGAGTTCCGGTTTTGAAGGGTTGCTGGAGAAATTATGCATAAGGGACTTGTCAACTTATGTCTCAGGGTGACAGATCTTTGGGATTTAAATTTCTGAGTAGCACTGCAATTGCTACGAATAGGCGTGTCGCTTACCACAAGGCGTACTACTTGTTCGTCTCGTCTCATGCTATCATAAAAAATATTTTCTACTATCTACATTGACTTACAATTATATGGACGTCGGGTCCGCGCTAAAAAGTGTCCGAACTTATAGGGCGTTAAAATCGTATACAGGGCGTCATTCATGCTTTAGTCTTCGTTTGTTCGACTGACAGCGAAGCAAGCAAAATTGGACAGTACTGCGATGACATTACAATTTAAATTCAACGTTTTAGCTTTTTCATATTCCTTTACATGTCACTACGTTTAAATAGGTTGATTTGGGACATTTTTTTCGTGGTTTTTGTATTAGACCCGTCGCCCATTTATTTGTAAGTCAATGACTATCCAGCAATACTTGCTATTTGACAGCTATCTTGCATGCGCGTTTATGATGCCCTACGCTACATACATGAATAGTTTATAGTTGATCAATACATATTTTACAGTCTGTATCTGTCATTGTCATATTACATATTGCATTTTTTATAGTCTGTACTGATTTGCGTTCCGTAAATAGCATAATATTTAAGCTACAGTTTTTTTAATTAGTTCAATTTCAAACAAAATAAATTA